ACTCCTGATGGCCCTCAACCAATCTCTCCCATAAGCCTTCTAACAAAGGAATGTAGCATAGTTTTGTCTCCGTCTGGTGTCTTTCAGAGAGGTGACATCTACTGCCGTCGGCGCTGGCGACGAGTCCAGTACCTCGCAGACCAGTTCTGGCGGCGATGGCGCTCGGATTTCCTCCCGAGCCCCCAGGAGAGGAGGAAATGGACGACGAAGCTCGAGAACATTGTACCAGACAGCGTCGTGCTCGTCATCGAGGACGACTGTCCCTGCTGCCGGTGGCCTCTGGGGCGTGTCGTCAAGGCGCACCCTTCCGGCGACGGACTCGTCTGGAAGGTCACTGTTCGCACCAGGGACGAGACGTATGACCGTCCCATGCAAAAACTGGTTCGGCTTCTCCCGTAAAAGGACCCGATTCATCTTCAGAGTGCCCAGTGTGGGCGGGGCGGCCCTGCTGCAGCGAGGAAGTCATCGCCTCGCGGGCGTGCTGGGGGGCAGTGACGCTTCGCGGGCATGCTGGGCGGCCATGGCGCCTAACAGGCGGCTGCCGGCTTCGTGGCGCCTGACGGTGCGCGCCCGGGCGGTGCGCGGCCGCCGCCTTCTCGGCGCCTGAATGTGTATCATGTGCTCGTCGGCCGGCTGCGTGGCTCCTGGCTAAGTGGCGGTCGAGTTCGCGGCCTGGCTCTCGCTGGTCGGGTTTTCGTGGCATCGGACACTGCGCGGTGGATATACTGGCGTGTTAGTGCTGCACGTTGTATATTGCATTGCGTTTAGACTTTGTGTTGTGTAAAAATGCAACCAATTTACAGGGGGGGGGGGGGGGGGGCGTCATTGTAGGGCGACATCGCTTCAGTAATAGACGGCGCAGAGCATAAAGGGCGCTGTTCGTGGCGCGAAATGGTGGCGAGAGCTGGCGCTCGTGATAGCGTTCCTGGCGCCGCGGGACGTTTGAAGGCAAGCGGTCCTTGTGGCGCCGCTCAGAATGTGACCAGACCACGATGTGCCAGGGACGCGCCGCAAGGAGTGAGTAACTGTACTGACTTAAACTGTTACGTTATTATTATTTCAGGTCATTACATGTACTGGTCATTATACCAGGTCGTATGTATTTTCGGGTTATTAGTATTGTTTCTCATTCATTTCAGGTTTTACGTGCAATGAAGCAGCAACACCAAAATGGCGGCTTCGAAGCTGTTAGAGTGAGCCGTAGTCATGTAATGACTGTTACACCATCCTAAATATATAGTCAGCGCATTTTGACTTAAAACAACTAGCCAGCCGCCAGCAAGGGTGTGGGATAATCTTACTTGACAGCGCTAAATAAACAGGATGAAAACACATCAAATAGACCGCCAAAAAACATCGCCTCGCACTGATGAGAAAGCATCATAAATGAAATCGTTCGCGAAAAAGTAAGCTCATCACGTATCGAACATAGAAAACAGTTGCACCAAGGAGTATCGCGCTACGCTCACGCCCCAAGCGGCAAAAATAGCAATGACAAGAATAGGTAGCGCTAGCGGCGCCACCTACATATTTCCTGAACAGGGACAGGGACGCAATCCCGAACGCCAAGAGCCTCTCCCGGGGGCCGGGGCCTCTGGCAATGATTGGGATTTGAGAACATAAGATGACGTTCCACAATGCTACAGTGGAAGGGCCCCATGTTCGCCAAGGACCCCAATATTAAACGGGAGACCCCCCACCCCAGGTGAGACAGGGGCCCATTGATCCAAACGGCAGTATCTGTGCTAATTATTGGACGCTCTGCGGCGATACGGTTTTTTTGCGTTAATTGGGGCCTCTGTCTCGACCCGGGATTGAATGCCCGGGTTAGAGGGATTCCTGAGTCTGAAAGGAAACCAATGTATGACGTTTTACTTTAACACACGCACGGGTGACCGGTTGGATACCCTTCGCTCGAGTGGGGGTTAATTTGGCTCTCTCTGAGATCTCAGAAACTAGGAGAGCTAGAGAATTTACAGGGTTCTCAAATTCACAGGGTGTGCTGGTCTGCATGAGAACTCGCTCGGGTCAAAGTTTTAGATTCTAGGTTATGAGTTTCGGGTCAAATAAGGTCAGACAAGGTCAAACTCCAGGTTCGTGTCCAAAGTGCCCTCAGTACCTCGACACCTGCTATAAAACGAAATTTCACATGTTCATCTAGGGTCAGTGACCTTTTCTGATCGTTCGAAGGTCATGGTAACCCAAATCATACAGGACTACTTCGAGTTTTGTATTTGAATAAGCGACAAAGACTACGCTAGACAATATGCCCCTAAAAGAAAATGTAGATCTGGATCCCTTTAGATCAGTGAACTATTCTGACCTTTGAGAGAGCCACGGATGATGTATGATGCGGTTACCAATAAATTCGTTGTCATCAATAAATTCGAAATGATCACCAAAAACTATCCCATACAGCATGCCCTAGAGTAATAAAGCAGATTGGTTTAGACCTTAGTAAGACCTTTATCTCTGACCCTGGACCAATGCAACTTGTTTATTCAATTGTTGTGTTGCCTAAGAAAGTATCTCAGAGATGTATGGCTTTGTCTAACACTCTGTTGTTGCATTAGACTGAACGATAACCTAAGCAATCGACCGCTGAATCCATGGCCTGACTTTGACATGCCGTATGTAAACGACATCAAAGGTACATCTATTTCTTGTACCAAACGATCCGCTACATAATTATCTAAAGCCATGCAAAATGTGGCGCGCTTACGACGCGCCGTTCGGAAACCATTCCGGAAAGACACTTGGGGATCAAACTGACCCACACCCGAGCTCGTGTTAAAGGCCTCCCGAGCGACCAGGTGACCCCACTTTCATATCGTCAGAACGCAGCCGGTAGGCACCCCGTGCTGAGACGAAAGTTCTCTTCAGTCCTTAACCGATAATTATGATATGCCCCTAGTGTTTTACCCACCAGGCCCCATGCCGGGACCGGCAAGATTTCCCCTTAATGTTCAGCAAAGTCGATCGAAATGAGGTCAAAAATAAAAAAAAGCCATCCCATGTCTTCCTGGAGGCGTCAATCATTTTTCACAATCGACTAGTGAGGCAAAATATATGAACAGCAAACAGAGTTTCTGGGCCTGCGCGCTCGCAATCTTCGTGAACGGTACTGGCCGCTGCTGATAACAGCAGGCGGCGGGCGTCGAGAGCCCGAGAATGACCGGCGTGAAACAGGGCTTCCAACGGCTTTTCAAAATCAAGTCGTACCGCTCAAAGATTAGAGTGGAATGAACATGGTTTGGTTTTGGTCCCCTTTGTGGTTTTGGAGCTGTCCTCTGAATATATGAACAGCAGCACGGACAAATAAGTTCTACCCTTACTTTCCAGTTCCACCACTTTGCTCTAGCACTTCTTCACGCCGTTGTAAATGTTCTTTCGTTCCTACTATTACCCTAAAAATGGAACTGGTGAAATACGCACCCAAAACACTCTTTGAACGCACGAATCAATGTCCTAAGCGTCTAAAGGAGCTTCTTTCAAACGCGTTATCATTTTCGGCGGAACGTTAGCCGTTACTTAGTGTTGACCGCCCGGCGGACGCCCTGCAGTCAACACTAAGTAACGGCCAACGTAAAGGTGACATTGCGGCCTAAGGGGACTGCAACGCTGGACGTCGGGGTCTTGTTTCTTAGACGTACAAACACATGGTAAAAATTGCTGGATGTGTTGCATTGCTTACTATCGTTATCTATATTTATCACATTTAAAAAAGACGCCAAAAACGGCATGTTCTATCAGATAATTTCTCCAAATGCATGCTATTAACGTTACACGCTAGAAACCTTGGTTACGTGTCTGTTGACAATGCTCACAGGTGTGTAAAAGCTATACAAAATTACGACCTGTTTTTATTTTTCAAAACAATCTTGCTGTTTTCATGTGTAACATCATACATTTTCCGAGCAAGCCAGCAAGTCATACGTAAAAATAATCAGTTGCATTTTTGATATAAAAAAGTTTTGTTTTGAAAAGAGCAATGTTACGCCGTACTTTTAATTAAAAACTGTTGCCTTAGATAGTTCTCAGCTTCCCTGCTAAGGGCACTTATCATCGTTTTCTGATCCTCATCTCCATCAGTACAGTGATTCTGAGGCAAGGGTGTCATTTTCTAAAATCAATTTGGGACTGAACCAATAAAAGTGGCCAAACCTGCCCAGAAATTTTGACTCTTCCCCCGCTTTTGGACACTTTGATTGCGTCCTTGATGTCACAGCAAAAAAAAAAACAGCTGGTCGATTCCAAAATTGTTTTTAGGTTGAGGAATGAACTCCTAATTGGAACCGCTATAATAGTAATAATGAACATGTGGGGTGATGATGCTATTGATAGCGACGCGTTTTAGCACTTAGTGTACCAGCAATTCAAACACGTGCTGCATTTTATTTTCCCAATGGGTATTCCCTTTTTTGCTCAGGTGCACTGCGCGGGCTGAAGGCTCAGAGGAAAATGGAGCGGGCTCAAGAGAATGGAGACTGCATCGCCTGACGCGCACGGCAGCGCTTTATTTTGCGCTGAGCCGCCCATACCTACACACATTTTTGAGATGAGCCTCAAACTTCGCACAAGTTTATTCCAAGATATGCGGCGGCTTTCCGTAGTTTTCCATCGCACTACCCAAAAAGCCTTTTCTGCCCCACCCAAAGCGCCCCTGAGCCGCCTACCGCCAGCCCTGAAAGGGGATGGGCTGCGGCTGGGTGAGCCTTTTGCAGTGCACTCGAAGTCGCACAGACCTAATTTTAAAGTGTGTCTTTTTGAAATGATGGTGATTTCTTAACATTCTTTACACATACGTATTAGAAATTTCAATTACATATACGTGTTATAAATTCCAATGTGTGCTTTGTGGAGGTAAAAATAGTGGCATCGAAACTTATAGGATATTTGACATTTCGGTCAAGAAGGATTCCCGCTGCTCTTCTGCCTCCAGACAGCGCGCCTGCGTATCTCGATGCCGTCAGACGAAATCGGCTGTAAAAAAGACCACACGTGTTCCGTTTATTGTCACCACGTGTTTACAGGGCCATGCAAAAGCAACAAGCTTGTGAGTGGCACCGACAGGTTTCGAACGCATGCGCACCTCAGGTCCTGGCCCATCCGCTCTCGGCAGCGTTCGAGTGGGGGTGGAGGGGGGGGGGGGGGTTCTCTTCGTCGTCGCGCAACCACAACAGCTGCCGCCGTCAGGTTGACCCAGACGGCTACCGCACCAGCGCACGTGTGGGCTCAGGTGACGTCACCCGCTCAGGTGACGTCGGCTCCGGGTGAAGAATGGCAGGGCAATAGCTCAGAACGCAGACGCCTCCGGCTGCGCGCAGAGTGGTCGCGGGACGAGGCCACAAGTGCCAACTTCACCACCACCGACAGCACACGCAACTAGACGCATTGTGTCCGGCTAGGTTCGAATGTTCAGCTTTCGAAGAGCATTAATCAGTGCAGCCTTCCTGATTTCTTAGAGTTTATCACCGTAATGTTAGGTGTATGTAACACACATGAGACGTGCCACATGCTCGTTATTTTGCTTCGAATCGGCTCCTCTGACCGTGTTAGGTACGAACTAAAACATTTGCCCTTCCGCATCCACATCCGGTTAACTGCCACCTATGTTCAACTTAAAATCTTCCAGCTATTCGTTAACAACAATTTGTACCATTCGAAATAGCCCAGGGAATTGTGGTCCATTTAACGTGCGTGTACTTTGGCATAATTACTTCCACAGGTATGGGAAATGGAAATCAAAGGGACCATACCCCATGATGTTTGGTGAAATACAAAAATTAACACGACAATGATGTGTGAAAAAACATTTTTTCTAACAGACGTCAAGCCTTCACGTTTTGTTTAGACGTTCCTGTGTTTTGTTTTCTCTGTCCGAAAAAACCTCAGCATAACTAAACGTGAATTTTTGCAGAACAGTTCCTATCAACAGCCAAATTGGCAATCAGTACGCCGTATGAAGAAAAAATGAAGTGCAAACATTTGAAAAGCCTGTGACAAAGTAAGACAACGGTCTAACACGAGTTCAGCCTTCACGTTTTGTTTAGACATTCCTATATACTATTTTCTCCGTCCGAAAAAGCCTCAGCATAAAAACGCGATTTTCGCAGAAAATGACTTAACTCCCTCCAACAGTTTAATTGACAATCAGTGCGCCTCACAAAAAATCAAGTACAAGCATTTGTAAGACCTGTGACAAAGTAAGACAACGGTGAGTCCACGTCCAAGTACCCTCCAGAACTAAACGACGCCGATCAAGCAGCGGCCGTGCAGCTCCGGGCTACTGCGGATCCTTTCAGGCAGGACTGGCTTAGCTGGCAGAATCACACAAATGACTCGGGTCCCGCCAGAAACATACGCCCTCCGTCCGTGTCGGTCAGCGCTGTCGCACGAGCCGACGACGAGCAGCGACGCCAACGGACCGTAAGCGAAGCTTTACGCGACGCGGCGCCACCGTCGCAGCAGGGCGGCGTCACTGTCGCGACAGGGCGGCGTCACTGTCGCGGCAGGGCGGCGTCACTGTCGCAGTCAGTCCCACCAGACGCCTAGGTGCGCTTCAGGCGGAAGGCGACGAAGGCATCGACGAGGTAGATGAAGGCATTAATGATACCCAGTGAGCCCATCGCCAGTCCGGCGTCACGGCGTTTGTCGTCCCCCGGGCTGTAAGTCTCCAGAGCCATGATGCCGGCGGTGATCATCATGATGAAACCGACGATATTGTAGATAGTCTCCTGTGAGGGAGAGACGGGTCAGTACCAGACCGCCGAGAGTCGGACGAGAGTCAACATTTAAGCGCGTCTCCGATGAAGTCCGCTAGCTTAGAGCCGTGCAAACTGCAAAACTGCGTAGTGGATATGCCCGTTGCTGGTTCGTACGACTAGCGCCGCTTGGCTTTCAGACGCATCCACTACTTGACATGTCATGTGGTTTGTTTCGGTGCTAATTTTACAGAGTTTACAGACGGAGTTTACAGAGTTTGTCACCTGATTTGCGCAGGATTTAGACATCCCAAAAGCAGCTATCAAAAGCAAATGAGAAACCTCGTACTCGAGCTGTCAATATCTGTTTCTGAACTATCTTGACTGTCAGCATCTTTTAACCTGTCAGCCAATTATCAAACTTGTTGGGAACACTCCTTTTTCCTCGGAGAAGGTAGCTTTGACATCAAGAGTAGGGATGAGGAAGACTGAAGAGTAGGGATGAGGAGATCATAAACAAAATGACACCTGATTTGTAAGGAATATAGTGGCATAATTTATACGGAAATCCATACAGGAAAACACTGCGGTTTCCACGTTCCAAGCCTCGTTGATAAATTAGCAACAACCCGACGTGAGATCAACATACATGTAAGGACCTGAACATTTAGATAAATGCGTATAACATCTATAAGACGCGTAATCAACACGAATGTCGCACGGCGAGGTTGGGTTGGTGGCCTAGATTACCTAGGTGACAATTGACCTACCTGACCGTAAACTAAATGATTGCGTAACGATAACGACAACACTGACAAAGGCTGAAGGCAGCTAATTTTCATTGGCAGACCATCTTCGTATGTTGGGACGGGGAGGGGAGAGTTGGGGTTCAAGAGAATCTGAGGAAGTCAACACATTACAGCAGCGCGGGACCTCTTCCCGCTCCGCCTTGCTGTGATAACTTGCTCCTCTTCCTCTAACCGAACTGTACCCGCCAACGCCCACAACACCTGAAGATGGTCTACGCTACGGCTAAAAGTGCATAAGTCCCGATGCTTTTTTCCAATCACGTTCCCTCCTTACAAGCCACGTTGGCATCGTCACTTTGCCATCTGGCCTACGTCAAGGTTAGCCGGGCATCATGTTTCCATAGGGCTTGACTCAACACTTTCGGTTCAAACCGAGATGAATCGAGACGAGTCGAGAATCGAGATGAGATGATGATCATCTCAAATCGAGATGAGATGTAATCATACAACATGCTTTTCACGAATTGAAGTTCAGATTGCAATGTTCAACTTCTATGTCCCTTCATCTTGTTCATAAGCTATTTAAACTATTAAACTATACTACTTAACGCTTGCTTCTACAGGCTATATGGTCCCACTTCTCGTCGCTCGCTCCTCGTCCGTACTTACCAGGAGCGACTTCTCGCCGCTCGCTCGTCATCCGTGCTTACCAGGAACGACTTCTCGCCGCTCGCTCCTCGTCCATACTTACCAGGAACGACTTCTCGCCGCTCGCTCCTCGTCCGTACTTACCAGGAACGACTTCTCGATGGCAATCTCGCCGGCCACAAGTGCGACCAGCAGCGGCACCGTCACCAGAACCATGCCGCCGAAGGCGATGGTGCCGACCAGCTGGCGGTCTAGGCCGACTCCGAACACCAGCCCGTAGTGCCGGATCAGCCCCAAACAGGTGAGGCAGATAGCCTGCGGGCAAGGGTCGCTTGAACGTCAGATGACAGTCGGTGCTGTGTTGGGGGAGGGGGAGGGGGCTGTGGAGAACGCGCGGGAGACGCCGCGCAGTGGTGGCCTGCTGACAGCCGCGGTATCCCTGCAGGCAGCTGCGAGGGTGCTTGTCGAAACACAACCCATGCACAGCCCAGGGCGGACGCGATTCAGCTTACACACGCGTCTTTTGAGATCGGGATCCGCCTTAGAGGCCTGTACTGCATGCAACTCTACGTTAGTACGGAACGGACAGAAAAGTGCGGTGTAATACCAAACTGAAACGCCGGGCATGGAGGAAACGATGCGGCGGCTGTAATTTCACAGTACGTAAAGTATAGAAAGGATGGTTTCGTCTGGCGCCGCAAATACTGTCTCAGGTACCTACCCACTCGGCTTACCACTGGCCCTATTACGAAATCACTGCTATTGGGCGATACTGATAGGGGGGGGGGGGGGGGCTCCATGCCCCACCCCCACTGACTGTTCCACTGGTTGTTCAGCTCAAATGCGACAGATGACGTTGAAACTACGCAAAAGAATGTATGTTGAACGCCGTCAGATCATCGGTCATATGGTTGTAGTGCTGGCTTATGCACTCTTATGATCTTTGCCCCAATGCAAACAATTTTCCCACTACCTCAGTGACCCTACGGCGTCCCACACCGACGTTTCAAATGGATGCATCGCAATGGCAACGGGCAGTTTGGAGCGCGCCGGGTCCCGCGCGTTTCACTATCAGCCGGCTGATCCCTGGAGGGCACGACACCAGCCGCCGATGGGCGGCGGGTCGGCCGCGTTCGACGATGAACAGACACTTGTATGCGCCACCAGCTGAGCCGGCTGCCAACCGTGATGACGCACTGTCGGGGCTTGGGGCGTCACGACACCCGCAGGCTACAGGTCACCGATGTTGCCATGAGGCGGAAAAATGAGAGGCCCGAGGCGTCGAGAACATCGATGACATTGAGAACGCAGTGGACCCTATCTAGTACAGATCATCGTGTCTTGTACTTAAGCCAATTTCATCCGAGCATCGTGTCACACCAGGGTGTGGGTAACCGAGGTTAGCGGGTCTGTGTAACAGGTGATAATTATGAAGTTGGACAAAATTCCAAGTGAAATCATTGTGTTTCATTGAAGCATACCACCTGGAAACGTGTGCATACAAGCAGACAGGCAATGGATCTGATCATAGACCCCCTCGTGCGTAGCCAGCTGTACGAGCTGCGGAACGCCCCACATCATCTTTCGCGAAACTTCCTTCTCAATCCTTCTGATCTTCTGTTGTACTTGCTGACGCAGTTGGGGTGACCTACCTGTTAGCCTGACCACAGGGGCAGGCACCGCGGGAAATGTGACCCCCTACCCTGGTTACCAGACGCGCAGCTTAACCACTTCACTACCCGAACTCATCGGTGTCTTGGCTTTCGATAGGCCTTTATTTCCACCTTTGAAAGACTTCTGTCATCTGGCGACTATGTCATCCCAACGATACCTTCGGGGCCTCCCTGTATCTGTAACTTGGCAAACGATTTCGGTGGAATCGTTTTTGTTCCGTATGCCCTCTTTCATCTAAGTTCTTCAAGATCTTATGCAGCGTCTAGTGGCATTGGGACGGGGGGTCCGAGAGATGTCGCCTCTCCGATTTTCGATGGCAATGAGCACGATTATTCATAACTCTTTCATTATGTCGATCCAATGACAGGATTCTGAGATGTCAGGTGTTAAGGTTTACACCACTGGAGGCCGCAAGTGGCAACACCTCCCATGCGGTGCCGTATTTACTTTTGGGCGTTTTCTTCCCATCTTTTGTTCTCATCTCGATGCGCCACAATGGAAACCTGTGCCTGGAAAAGGTAAAAGGCTACTGAATTCCAAAACAGGTCGACGAGCAAAGAAGAACAGACCGTTGACTAAAAGCATCCCATGGGCCCGATTTGGTCCTATCCTGGGCAAAATATTGACTACGTCACTGGGGTCTTCACCACGTAGCCCTGACTGCAGCCGGGCGACGAACCAGGAGCGGCGGCGACCGAAGCGGCTGCGGGAGACGGCAGAGCGCCGACCTCCTCCAGGTGGACCCACGCGTCGATGGAGTCGTGTGTTTGTATTCGGACGCATTGTTCATGTAAACAGACGTGCTGGCGCGCAGCCCGTGGCCTGGCCTCTGTCTCTGCTGCTACAGGGGGGGGGGGGGGGGCTGCACCGAGGAAAGGGGGGGACAGAAGGCATGACTTACGTTAAGGAATTTTGAGTGGGCAGTCATTCCAACGACAGGTTTGATTCAAAACATGGACTCATTTGACCTCCGCCAAATTCGGCATCCTCTGGGATTTAGGCGACTTTGGGCGGAGCCGAGGCTGCTTGATGAATAGGCTATGCTGATGGAGACGACTTTCAAGCGGGAAGATGAAAAACGCTGAACGGCACCCAGGTTTTCGAGACGTTTCTTCCATGATACGGTTAGTAAAATACCTTACGACGTAAAGCTACATTTCGAAAACGTTTGGTGGATTTGCTTTGTTGGCGGAGTTGATTTGGAAACTATATCATTTTAAATGGTATTGATGGATAATGGATTTAAATGGATAAAAGTCTTTAAAGGTTGTAATTCTCTTCAGAGTTAAATAACGTTCAGCTCTCGACCACACTGAGACCCCCTCCAAAAAAAGACGTTACGCCGGTGTCAGGAGCGGACCATAAATCACATCGACGCTCACTGACCTGACAGAGCGGATAATCATAATGACCCACCCGTGAAATGCCACAACCATGATTTGTGTTTTCCGGTGGCACAAAACCCGATGTTTCCAAGGTGGGCTATCATTAGCGAAACAAGCAGCAATCGGCGCATGCTACGGCTCGCGAAATACGACTATGCCCGTCGCCCAGCTCTCCATACAGGTCCACCCACGGGGCGAACACAACCAACCCCACACATATGCGCGTCATTGTGCATACAGTGACGTGGAGCATTCTCGGCTCTCTCCTGCAGCGATATGCCCCTGGGGTCACATGATTATCCTAATTCCGGAATGGGATACTGCTGCTGCCAGGTGACCAGCCAAACAGTAGGCCTTTCTTCAAATGCTTTTGATGGCGTCAGTCTGTGTCCCATATCACGCGGACGATAATTACACCGCGAACGATGTGACCGCCCGTTTAGACCAGCAATCACTAGCACTAATTCATTTGATGCATAATTAAGTTGAGGAGAGGCGGTGAGCAGGATACGATTGCCCACTGATGTTCCATAGTCGGTGCACCGCGTGACTACCGAGGAAAACTGATCGCACCACCACAACGGCCAACGAAACCAAGCAGCCACGACTTGGTTTTCCACCAGGCGGCATGTCCCGCGGGTAACACTTGCCCAGAACCGGGGCTGGGCAGTGGGCTCCGTGACCGCCTGCGCCAGCCGTCAAATGGCATCGACCGGCCCCACACCTGCTGCAAAGGCCGCGTTCGACTGACCGGCCACGCACCCCCTGTCGACCCTCCCCCCCCCCCCCCCCACTACCCCGTTCACGACCGACATGCCCGACAGCGTGCGCTGCGTACGACCCTCTGCAGCGTCACTGAGAGGGGGGAGGGCGTCCGGTCCTCGACCGGACACGGCGTCACAGCACCGTGTCCGGTGGGGGGGGGGGGGGGGGCTGGAGCGTGGCGGCGTGCGGGAGCCCCGGGTAATGACCGGCAGGCGGAGAACCGACCCTTCCGGCCAATAACACACCGCGGGCGTAGGCGGAACGACCAACGGCTGGCCGGTTGAACTTTGAAACCGGCCAGCCTACACAAGCTGTAGAGCGACGAGGGGACCGTGATGGGACGGACTGCCGCCGCGCAGGATGAAGAGGGCTCGAACTGAACTCGCACCGAGGGGTTCGCTGGTGCTGAAATGCAGGGGGTTTGGTGGTTCACAAACCTGGGCCCCAGCCCGCGAAACTGACCGTCGGTCGAGCCGTTGGCATTCCAGTGGGTTGATAACCGCTGCGATAACGTCGGCCCCACGCGCGCTGTGGGTTCCAAAAAGCTGGCTATGTGGACCTCAGAAACTCTACACCGAAAAGGAGCGCACGCGAGTAGCCCAGAGTTCATGCAGCTCCGCATGATAGATGGCTACATGCAGTTCAGCAGTGGTCCGAAGCCTGCACTGCAGCTTTAGCGTCTTTTAGTGAGTGCAGTTTTACCCGTGGCCCGACGGCTGCGTGCAGCCCGGCAGAGGTATGCTGACCATGTGCAGTCCGGCAGTGGTCAGGTGGCCGTGTGCAGTCCGGCAGTGGTCAGGTGGCCGTGTGCAGTCCGGCAGTGGTAAGGTGGTCGTGTGCAGTCCGGCAGTGGTCAGGTGGCCGTGTGCAGTCCGACAGTGGTCAGGTGGCCGTGTGCAGTCCGATAGTGGTCAGGTGGCCGTGTGCAGTCTGGCAGTGGTCAGGTGGCCGTGTGCAGTCCAGCAAAGGTCAGGTGGCCGTGTGCAGTCCGGCCGGTCAGGTGGCCGTGTGCAGTCCAGCAAAGGTCAGGTGGCCGTGTGCAGTCCGGCAGTGGTCAGGTGGCCGTGTGCAGTCCGGCAGTGGTCAGGTGGCCGTGTGCAGCCCGGCAGTGGTCAGGCGGCCGTGTGCAGCCCGGCAGTGGTCAGGTGGCCGTGTGCAGTCCGGCAGTGGGCAGGTGGCCGTGTGCAGTCCGGCAGAGGTATGCTGGCCGTATGCAGACCGACAGAGGTATGCTGGCCGTGTGCAGACCCGCAGCGAGCCTGCATCATCACACGCCAGTCGGCCTACTTTGGATCTCACTGCAAGTGGCAGTTCTGTGCCCAGCGCCGACAGGTCTTCCAGCCCGCGCAGGATCAGCTGTCATGACTCAGTCGGCCGGCCCAACTCAGCCTCAAATGTCATGTATCGGAATGATAAGCGAGAGTCGGAGGTGGCCAAAAACAACCCGCAGACCTGCCTTCTTCGAGCGGCCTCCCAGGACTCACGCACCAGCCCTCATTCCTCTCAGAAACTTGAAAAAACTCAGTTTTCCTATTCGCCAGCTTGCATAACCAGCTGGCGCTTGAGCGCCCCAGCTTCACCACATTTCAAATTAAGGTGAACGGTTGTCGGATTAACCGTTGAGCACAGCTCACCACATCCCACTGAGTGGGCGTTGGTGTACCGCGCCGTGCCGCGGGGTCCGTGGCCGACTTCCTGTTACGCCTGCAGGCTTTGGCAGTCTAGCGGTGGCCGACCGGACCGCGGTGCAGCCTCCCTCCCTCCCTCCCTCCCGCCCTGTTGACGGCCGCTTCCGCCGCGTTTGAAGTGGTGGCTCGGCGCCGCTCGCGCGCTTTCTCCGGCAGCGGCAGCGGCGGCCGCTGCTCAGACAGGGCCGCTCACGGGCGCGCCAGTCGGCACGGCGTCGGAGCACGGCCGAGCACAGACGGACGCGCACCGCAGGCGTGCTGCTGCACGCCCCCTCCCCTGCCACCTCACCCCGCCCTTTGTCAGCTGCGCACGCCAACTGGGTCACAGCGGGGAAGACGTGCTGCAGCGCCGCCGCAGGAATACGCCGCCGCCGGTGGATTCGGGGCGACTTTCGCCGGTCGATGCGATGGCATGGGGGGGGGGGGGGGCGTTGACGATCACGCACTATTCGACCGTTGTTCATCTGCGGGACGAGGTTGGAGCGTGCCTTCCGCGAGTGATAACCCAGGGGAGCACCCCGACGGACGCAAGGGGCCGGGGCCGTGCACCGCCATTGGTTAGAAATGGTGATTCTGGTCTCCGGGATGACGTTTCGGTGGTTTTGACGCTCGTTGCCCATCATTGACGTGGCGCCTCCCTGGCATTATTCGCAAGGCAACGCCCCTGACCTAAGCCGCGGGCTTGAGTGGGGCCGGTTTCTGCAAGACGTCCTCCACGCACCACACGCGATGATATCATTTTCCGCGAACGTCGAGCCGGGCCACAGCGGAATTCGGAGCGTCCCTGTCAGCGATAACCGGTCCCGTACCGGCCAGCGGGACGAGTCGGGTTCGATACAGAGCAGCGAAACGGCCCGGCTGGCCTGCAGGGGCGGAGGCGTGACCGTACCGAGGATCGTGCGCGGAGCTGGAGCGGCGGCGCGCTTGCGAGCCCCTCCTGATGACTTGCGGAACAGTGCCGCCACTTCCGAAAACCATGCCCGTGCGGTATGGCACGACCTTTTCTAACGACCGGGAGACGTGCCAAATATGCCGCAGCTACGCGAAACAGCCCGCGGCCGAACCAGCCAGAAATATACCGATACGTTCCCAGGAACAGCTCGTTCAGAGAATATGTCTTCACTAGGTTGAATTCGAATAACATATGCCACTTCCTGTATTTACCTACACACTAATGCAGACGGTCACAGGCAGGCCAAAAACCCTACCGGCACACCCCAGAGTCCGCAGCCCCACCCTCCGGGTAGAGGAGGGGTTGCGGGGTGACAGGAGGAGGGGGAGGGGGCGTAACCGGGCTTCGGGCGGCCACGCCCCACGGCGGTGGCATGCCACGTATGCGCGTACGCGCCAGCCCACCGAACCCGTGCAGCCCGCGGCGGCGCCCGTCGGAGGGCCCAGCCTCGGAGCACGGCTCGTCAGATGGAGATCGGCGACAGAAGCCAGCCGCCGAGATCCAACAGGAGATAACAGCCAGAGTGCCATCACCGCTCTCGGCGTCAGACACAATAGATGGGCCAGATCAAGAGCGCCGGAAACGAAGAGCAATCACACAGCTCTGGCGGCGCGAGCGGCGAGTCGGGCCCAGCGCGCCGGAGAAGCGCGCCACCTGCGCCGGCTGGCCCCATCTACGGTACCGCACGCTGCCACCGCCCGCGGTCGGACCGCGCAGATGGTACATCTGGCCGGCGTGCGCGCGCTTCCGGCGCCCCGGGCGGCGTCGGTGCGCGCGAAGGCGGCACCGGCCGCCGGCGACGCCGCGCGCCGCTTCTGTTTGGTAAACAGACGCCTCGCGCGTAAATACGACGCGTTGTGTGGCGGTGCTCTCCGGCACGAGCCTGAGGCTACGACTGTCCCCTGTCCGAGATCGCGGCAAGAAGGGACAGTGGCGCGCGTGAGGGCGGTGTCCTGCGGGCGGACGGTTTGAACGCCCGGCGATTTTCCTATTCGCCAGGTTTTCCTCACCCTGCGGCTTCGGAGCTTCCGCCACCGCTGTTTCACGCCCTTGCCTTCCTCGGCATAACAAGGGTGAAAAACCCTGATTAATGGTGCATGTCCACTGCCCCCATTTCCCGCCATCGTACTAAGGCCGCAAACGCGTCCTGAAGTCACTGACATAGCCTCCTGTATGCCAAGAATGACGCCCGCCATGACAGTGCCGTTGAAATAATCCTCAACACTTCTCCGTCGTTGCAGGATGCTTGTTTTGGTAAACCGGCGGATCCAATTTTTCTTAGAATTGGCCATCCGCACTGCTTTCGTGAGCAACATCCACACGACTTGCGAAGCACAGGTCTGTTCTCTGCCAGCGAAGCAACACTCACGATCTGCAGGAGCTTCAGGAAGCCGGACGGCCTGCAGAGGATGCGCACGTTGGCCATGATGACACACTAGAGCTTCGTCGACTTCGAGCGGAACAATCGATCACTCGGTCCGATACCCACGGTGGCCGGAGTATGAGTACGCTCGGATCGGGACGCGCCTCTTTCGGCACTCGCGCGACGCTGGCGCCCCTAACGGCGGCGCGGTGAACCACTCGCTGCAGCGTGCCACGCCGCCAGTTCTGCCGAAGCGGCGTGTCCCAAGGCCGCGCACCGCGGGCGGGAGGTGAGCGTTGGAGTGGGCGGGCGGGACGGCAGGGAGTGCCGGGTGCGCCCGACGACCCAAACGACCTCCGGTCGTCACCGACGGAGGCGGCTGAAGCCGCTCGGCAGCCGCCGGCCGCGGAGCCCGTCTGCTCGGCCGGGGCACGGTCTGGGGAGACGGACGAGCTGTCCCCATCCTACCACGTCACCTGCCACGTCGTTGCGTAGCGAACGTCCGTCAACCGGCGCCTGCCGAGGACCCGGGGCTCCTGACGAGGGGCGTCCCTGTGGCTGCAGAACACGGCGCCTTGGCCTGCAAGAGACTGCTCGTCGATATGTGGGTGCCGGGTCGGCCGCGTACGGAGCGCCATCCCCCCATCCCGCTGAGACGGCGGGGCTGCGGTCTGCAGCGTGCAGCCCATTCAGAGCACGGCCTGCAGCTGCGGGCCGTGATCGCGCGGACCTATTTCCGTGCTCCACGCGGCGTGACTCCGGCCCGTCACGCCGCGTGACGTGCAGGACGCTCGAACCGGGCATGTCAGTCGGCACCAGAGTAGGCGTTAGTCGATAGAGATCTTTGCTGCAGCCGTATACAGCGCCGTCATCTGATTACCAGCGCAGCGAGGGCTTCACTGCAGCCCTGGTAGGTCACTCTAGGTGCGGCTGGCAAATACATGTCATGAGCGGCCATCAGGGCACAGTGACGTGGAATGCCCGAGGAAGCGATGGGACCAACAAACCCCTGTTTCAAGTCAGTGCTTCCCGTCCGCCACATAAAGGCGAATGTCTAATGTCAGGAACACGGGTAGGCCACGCCCTCCCCCACATGTTCCTACTTCTATGTCATTTGAATGTGTGAATGTCACCATATGCGGCGCGCCAAACATCTTGAAGCCCATCCAGCGTCGGCGCGGGCGCCACACATCGCCAGGGGCGTCGGCGAGTAGCCCGCGCGCGTCATGCAGCGACGCCGCGTGCATTCCGACCTTGGCCTGCTGCGCTCGACGCAACCGGACCGCTGAGGCCGCGGCGGCTGCGTCCGGCGTGCGCGGACGGGCTCCGCCGGCGCCGGCCCACGTGTGGTGAGATCACCGCCGCGGCCCGGCCGGCGGTGGCATCCGGCACGGTCGGGACGCTGCAGGGGGCGGCCGGCGGCCGGCGGCCGGCGCCCGCGCGGGGCCCTGTGGGCTGGTGACCCGCACTAGAGGCAGCGGTCTGCTGACCCGCACCAGAGGTAGGCGAGGCGGTCTGCTGACCCGCACCGGTGGCGGGCGGTCTGCTGACCCGCACCAGAGGCAGGCGATCTGCTGACCTGCACCAGAGATAGGCGAGGCGGTCTGTTGACCCGCACCAGAGATAGGCGAGGCGGTCTGTTGACCCGCACCAGAGGTAGGCGATCTGCTGACCCGCACCAGAGGCAGGCGGTCTGCTGACCCGTACCGGAGGCAGGAGGTCTGCTGACCCATGCCGGAGGCAGGCGGTGATAGAGACATCTGGGCAGCGGCAGGGTGAATTCGGCCGAGCGTTAACGAAACGGCCCTTAATCATCCTCGCTATAGTAAATATGCCATCTGTGTATTGCAAGGGCAAAGCAAAACGCTGACGCGGGTTTTCACGAGTTACCGAACTGCAAAATTTGCATTTCACTGCAAGGTAAATCTGCATCGTCATTCGATGTCATTGGTGTACTGAATACACCTGATTGAACCTGAGGGGATCATTAATAATTTACACGCCAAGGTGGTGGCATAGCGAGACATTTTATTACGGTCTCTCTCTGAATTCTACTTGAATTGTCATGATCGGTCACATCTTGTCCTTCACTGGTCATTCGAAGCTTCCAGAAGTGCAACTACGAGGCAACGCCCTTTTAAATCACAAAGTGCATTTCTTGTTAAGTTGTCCATGACTGAGACCGGCATGTGAAATGGTTGCCGGCGTCCAACGCCGTTTCCGGTTGTGGGTTTGGTGGAGAGGTCGGCGGCTAAGCGTTGGCGTTCCCATCGATTTCATCAAATTTTAGAAGTAACTATAACAGGGTTATCGCAAATTTGAAAAGACTCGTCAGAATCAGACAGCAAATACCTCTACATTTTCAACATTAACTGTACTGCAATATTCCAACTTTCCGTGTATGGCGTGTACAGCTGGGCCAGGCCCGCAACTACCCACTGCCGGCGCCACTGCGACCTTGCTCAGGGCCAGCCAGATTACCCCGAGCGTGCGACCAATGAAGGAGAGCCTCAGGACGTCAAGTCCTGCGATAGCACAGCCTCCATTCACGACTCGTTTACATCTTAGTGGTCTACGAACTAAGCCTCGATCTGCCGCTATGTTTTGGCTGGTTTGTACAACACCGTGACAGTCCATGTTGGGGTGAACTATAGGGTTGACTGTAATCGAATAAAACCTCCGACAACTGTCCGCCTCTTCAAAATAGAAATAGCACGACGGGGTGATGGAGGTGGAGGTCGACAGCCTTTGCGTCACTATCGAAACATGTGACCATGTAGCTGAATGCACTGCTGAATGGGCGGTGGGCGTTTTTAATTCGCAGCAGCATTAAAAACAGGATCTGCTGAAGCGAGCAGGTCATCATTTGTTACTGTTAAATTGTACAAAACCTTCGTCAGCAGAGGCATTTGGCACCATAGCCACACGGGCTTGACTGGAGCCATGTCTGAACTGCAGCTGGCCGAGCCTCGCTAGCAGTTAACGATCCCCATGCAACAGCCCGTGTCGTTCAGCTTATGTTCGGTGTTTATCTTTCCCGCCCGCCCGTCTGTCCGGGAAGAAAAGATCAGGTGATCGAACACCTCCAGTAGGCCACATCGCACAGCGGCGTAGCCAGCAAGGCAATTCTACACAACACACCTACTGAAGTTGAACAGCTCGTAAAAGCCAGCGCCGTTCTTCACAACAAGCCAGTAAAAGTCGTGTTTCCGCTCAGCAATGTGCCTTTGCCTGGCACTGCGATGCCCGCTTGATGTTTCAGTGTTTTTGTTCGAGACCTACCGTGGCTTGTTCCGTAATCACGCAGCAAACGGGCGGAGCTCACGCAAAACGTCGGCTCGAAGCTTAATCCAGCCAGGGCCGGGAATAAATAGCGTGAGGATTGAGGTCCACTCGATGGCCGGTTAAAGACCGCTTCAGCATGAGAGAAAGTGCCGCGGTGGGGACAGAAGCCTGGACCGCCGTGCCGAACCCAGCTTTCTAGTGCTGCAAGCCTGGTGCCTTGCGTGACCCGTTGCCGGCATTATTAGAGACGTTCCAGAGGATATTTGCACAGGATAATGACGTCGACTGCGGCGGCAGGTTAAGAGAGATTCGCTCCGCTGCAGGCGGCTGCTCGTGCGTCGCACGCACGTGCGTTTTTGCGATACTTGAGTGTGCAGGGGTGCCGGCCAAGTCAAGCGGCAAAACTGCCGGGCTGATTCGAGCCACCCGTCGACGGCTTGCACAGGTGACAGGTGCCCAAACACTGGGGTCTGAAAACGAAGCGCCGTGGGCGAGCGCATGCCGGTGTCCAGAGGAAAGGTAACGACATCGACTGTGAGCTCGCGCCAAGCTGTCGCGCTGGTGGCAAATGCGGCTGAGTACACAGGGATATTTCGTGTTCACAGGAGCATAGAAAGAACACAGACCTTTGTCATTGTTTTTGCAGGAGTTTTGGGAGTTTTTAGTTTAACATTGAGGGGCGCTGCACGTATAACTGAAACTGAACAGCGTAGATGTTCGCAACATGCCTTTTCTCATGGTTAATAAAGGTTACAAATGAACACCCACCAATATTTCAAATATTGCTATGAAATACTACCAGATACCATCGACGGCATGGTATTGAACGTGTTCAGACTAACTATAACCTTTCACTGATGACTCACTACGACCAAGTCCGCTACCTTTCGTCAACAGACTCCAGCTATGCCAAGCGGACGTCATAGATTCCTCGCATAAAATCTCCATGGGTAAGTGGCCGAAGAGTTGCCGTGACATTGGTGTCGAAACGCCGAACGTGTTTACCGTCGCCGCCCACTATTTCTGTCGGCACGCATGCTGCGCGGCCAAACGCATATATCTGGAACTGCGCCTCCAGTCAAAACAGATCGCCGCACGTGCCAAAGTGGGACCGCTTTCCCACGCTGTGTATATCACCGGCCAGTGAAAACATCCGGCCAGGCGTGCGGCTGTGAATGATGCGCCGGCTAGGCATTCAGCCGTAGTTCTTCACCGCACGATCCAAGTCAACGAAGTCGGGGTCCAGCATTGACCCTGGGTAGAAGGGGATGGAGCAGACGGCGTACCAAAGGGTTTGGCACGTGAGTGTGGAAATATTGGATGAATTGGCATGGCACAGTCGTTCGCACCAACATTTTTCGGTAAGGAAATGTTAGTAAACCAGTTTCCATGCAAAATGGGTTGGTGGGTGTCAAGCCTGCCCCTAAGCTCACCGGTCGGGTGAGGCGACACTTCCCTGGCCCACCTGAGGCGACACTTCCCTCTCCCACCTGAGGCGACACTTTTCCCTCACCTGAGGTGACGCGTCACTTCCTCACCGTCGCCAACGCGTGCCACTCACGACCGCAGGCGGTGAACTGCGCTCTGGCTCGGCGCACTGATCTGAACTGGGGGACGGCCGGAACGCACTCAAGTGCTTTTTTTTAACGTACAGCGCGTCCTGTGCTCGCATGACCCAATTGTTCATTTCATGTACCAGTGAGTGGATGCTCAGTAATAGGAAGGTATACACATAATGGATGTTACCGCAAATTGTCTTAATTGTTATATGAGCAGTTCATCGATCAGGTAAATGAGCCGTCAGTGACTGAGCAGTGGAAGTGCTCTCGGGTGTTGTTCAATCAGCTCCGTCGGCAACAAAATGTCAGAACAATTCCTTCTGAACATTCTCTTACTACCCGTGTCTGTTATATCCATGCATTTTGGAGAAGAAGGTAATGCTGGGCGATTCTGTCCGGCTTTAATTCAGCTTTTAGATTTCATTTAGAAGACATTTCTTGAATTTTTCACTCCTGTGTTTTGGGAGTGGTGCAGTTAAGTGGTCAAGTTTCTTCGGGAAAAAGAAATACGTGGAGTAAAATTCTCTACCAGGCTTTGCTAGTGTTTGTATCAGGCTTTGCTTTGGTGGTGTGGTGCTTGCGTGGTGCGACCAAAAAAATTGGGCCGTGTGAAAACCTTCCATAAGGCACACATCTACACATTGTGATCCATTTTGTAAGCAAACCAAATTTAATGCATGCAAGCGACTGGAGTCGTCAGGGCTTTCGGCCTTGAAGATACCTGGTGCCCTTCCTCTGTGCATACGAAGAACACTCAGACGTAGGTGAGGCAGGATATAGCCATAGGTGTCCAGGTTCTGTGAAGTCTTGTTCGCGCTTGATGGTTTCAAGTGAGCTCGGTTTTGGATGACATCTTAAAGCCTCGGAAAGAGATATATGGGCTTAGTATGTGCGCGTAGACAATATCAGGTAGGAGTGAAAAATTTACATAAAACATCGGGAAAAGGAGTGAAAAATTCCTCCTTACAGGGTGTTGTTTTTCACCCAAAGTTGGCAATTATCGGATACTGCGTTTTATCAATGAAGTACCTAATGTTGCTTGTTGTTCCAATATTTTTACTTAATATGTTTGCAACAAAATAAAGGTGAGGGATAAATCTAAGAGATTTGCCAATGAGCACACCAAAGTATTTGATTTCTCTTTTCTCATCAATTAGTGAATTGTTAATTTGTACGTTTAGTTGGGAATGCGAAGAAAGGATAGTATAGTACTGTTTCAATGTTTTTGATACGTTGAGTGAAAATAAATTGACATTAAACCAGGAAGTTATCAGAAGAAAAAGTACATGGAAGTTGTTTTGAAGTTCTAAAATACTTAGGCCTTTAAAGATAATCGGAGTGTCATCAGCGTAAGAGGCAAATCATGCTACTGCTTAATTTAGATGAATCATTTATGTGCATTATGAACAGCACTGGGCCAAGAATTAATCCTAGGGTAACACTCATGGTTACGTTTTTGAATGATGATAATTTTGTTTCTGATTTTGACAACTTAAGCTCTGCCGGACATATAAGAGGAAGGTTTTTTGAGAATTTTGGACATTAGCGGCAAAATATTGACAGGTCTATAATTATTTACAACCGAAGACTTTTAAAGATGGGTTTGATTGCGGCTTCTTTGGAAATGCCTGGAAATGTCCCCATTGATAAACAGCTGTTGAATATGTAAAACAATTGCTGAGCATTACTCTGTAAGACAACTGGAGTTTTTTGGCATTTATATTACCAGCTCCAACTCTAGCATCGTTTAACACGCGCCCGGGCAGCCGGTTGGATACCTTTCGCTCGGGTAAGGGACCAGTTTGATCCCCTGAAATATCAGGAACTAAGAAAGCTAGAGATACCAAATCTATAAAGCGTCCTGAGCTGTACCTGAACTCGCTTAGGTCAAAGTTTGAGGTTCCTAGGTTATGACCTTTGGATCAAGTAAGGTCAAACAAGATCAGTCTTCAGGTCGGTCTCCAAAGTGCCCCCAGAACCTAGATATCTATTCAAAGCAAAAGGTCTCATAACCACTTAAGGTCGATGACCTTGTTTGACTTTTCGAAGGTCATGGTGACCAAAATCATACAAGACTGCTTTCAGTTTTGCATTGGAATAAGCGACGACGATTTTGCCAGGCAGTATGCTGCTTAAAACAAAATGCTGACCTGAGTTGTTTTAGGTAAGTGGCCTATTCCAACTTTATGGAAGTACATGAAAGATGTACGGTGAGGTACCTGTTATCAATAAATTCGAAATGTGCACCAGAAACTAGCCCATGCAGCAAGTTCTGGAGTAATAAAACAGATTGCTTTTGACCATGATCTGACCTCCAAAACTGACCTTAGGTTGATGGAATTTGTTCATTCAATTGTTACGTTGCCTAAGGGAGTATCTCAGAGACGTATCGCCTTGTCTAACACGCCATGATGCATCAGGTTGAACGATTCCCTTGACATTGACTTCACAGAGTCCATGGCCTGACTTTGACCTGCCGTGGGCCATTGAACTTTGAAGGTACATCTAAATGTTTTGATACTAAACGATCCGCTATTCAATTGTCTACAGCCATGCAAACTTTGGCACGGCTGTACCCCGCCGCTCGGAAAACATTCCGAAAAAACCTTCGGGGAGGATGGGTTCAATTTGATCACCCCATCCGAGCGCGTGTTAATTCATTGATAATATAATCTAATTTATCTTCACTAGTGTGGGAAGAGGGGTGAACTATTTCATTTTCCACACTTGCCATGAGCTGGAGTTGGTTTAATGATGATTTAGGAATCTTGTTATTTAACTTTTGTCCAGTCTCAGTGGAGAAGCAACTAAATGATTCTGTGATATCCTGATCGTCCGTGGGAGTTTTATCATTAACTTCACTAATCCTAGTTGGATCTGCATCCCTTTTTGCTTTGAATTTAGGAGAGTGTGTGTAAACCTTGACAAAAGGCGCAGTGATTTGACGCTTTGAGCATCAATCATGTAAGAGCGCGTTGTTTACGCTATCCCTAGGGTTGCGTAAACAACGCGAATCTGCCATGTATTACCCACCGCGATTCGATCAGCAGTTACAGACTCGTGAGCCGGCACTGCGTGTTCAGGCGCCGCCTTGTTACTTGCCGTCCTAACGCGTCCCAAAAGCTTGTTCACAAACCACGCTGTCTGCATTGCGCCCCGCGTGCTGGAATTTAAGGTCCCTGTGCGGTCGCAGAGCTGCATGGCCCTACTCTCCTGCTGCGTGCTGTTCCTATCACCTGGTGAAGACGTCGACGAAAATTGTTAGAACATGCTTGGTTGAAGCGCTTTGCGCTCAGTGCATTTTAACGAAAGATCTATTCTTTGCAGGTCATTTAAAAGGCCATCAAACCTTAAGAGGTATGTTGCTGATGATCTTTTCGAAAAAGTTTGCTTCGGTTTTTGACTGGTTACGACTGAAGTCCCACCATAAGTGAGAGAACAAATCAAACGTAATGCTCCCGTAATGATTTTAAAATGTCGCCGTGTGTAGAAGAACGCATTCACCTTTCATTACACAGCCTGTGGCGTCGTTAACTGTTTAAACCTTTGAGTCAATGGGAGTCAGCGCCTTTCTGTCGTTCTCAACCGTGAGACAGCCGTGGTGGACACTTCAAGACACCCAACCCATCGTTATTAGCTACATTCACATCCCTCTACCGTTTTCAAAGGAAATCTTGTGATCCTAGACGTAGGGCGTTTTTAATCCAGTCCATTATCCGGCACAAGCATGTTGAGAAATACTGAATTTTCCCGGTGAAAACGGTCAACGGGAAAAAGGGAAACCGGGTGCGCGGCGGGTGGGTGGGGCTGATCTGGGACTGGTCCCAGGCAGGTAAGGCCTGAAACCGGGTGCGCGGCGGGTGGGTGGGGCTGATCTGGGACTGGTCTCAGGCAGGTAAGGCCTGAAACCGGGTGCGCGGCGGGTGGGTGGGGCTGATCCGGGACTGGTCTCAGGCAGGTAAGGCCCGAAGGTGAGTGGAGTAGGCATAATGTATGCCACCCGGGGGTTCTCAATATTTCAGATGTTGGTGGTCGTAAGACACTGTCATTATTACGAAGAGGGTCGAAACACATGTATTTTGGTATAGACGCTGCGCCCAGGTAAGACGGACCAATTATGCAAATCACGCACCGGCAACATATTTTAGTTGTAGAAAATATCAAACGTTGTCCATTTAATGTCTTCACAACATGCTAACAGGACCATGCAAAGGCAACGAGTCTGCGTGACACTGAGCGATTCTCACGCATTCGCATCCCTGGCGAGGGTTCAGCCATCGACAGTGGCGATGGGGTGAGAGATCTCAATCGTAATCGACGCATCAACACCGCACCAGTCAGACCACGCGTCGGGTGTTCACCAGGCGAGACGGCCAACGTCAGTCTAGTTTCCATGATCGATAAAACTCAAATCCGTATTATGTCTGGGAATTAAAATTCATATAGTATTTCACGTTACATCTGGCAAGGGTCCAAAGTCGCCTTTCAACCCCAGAAAGTCTAGTTTTTGTCATTGTTCATGTCGCGCTTACTCCTAACTGAATCCGCGTGTGGTATTATATTGCAAATCAGGTGTCCATTTGATTGTAACACGTACAAAATGGAACAGCTTAACACTTTTATTTCAACATATCCGGAAAAACGCTTCTTGCAGCATCCGTTGCCAACAAAAATTCCCGCAAAGGCAATCTCAAAACACATTCTCACCACTTAGATCACTTACAGTCATTCAGACAGAGAGACAGATTACAGAGCAGACAGAGTCATTCAGTTCCAGCACCTGAAACGCCTATAACACAGTCAAACGACGGCAAGTCAGCGATAAAGAGCGCTCTCAAACATTCTCAACGAGCAGTGCCGCGGCGGACTGCTGTGGCTGGCCTCCGGCCGGGCCGGTTCAGCTGGCAGAGCGGCTTGCCTCGTCGGACCCGCACGCGCGCGTGGCCCGTCCCCTCCGTCCGCGTACTACGCCACTCGTCGCAGCTCAAAGGGGCCGCGGAAGCAGCCCCGCCACCACAGCAACATCACCGGAGTGGCGGGGACGGCTGAAGCCAGGCCAATGCGAGCAGAGCCGACACCATCATCGACACGGCGTGCTCAGCCCGGGTCTAGGTGCGCTTGACACGGTAGGCCACGAAGGCGTCGATGAGGTAGACGATGGAGTTGACGATTCCCAGCGCGCCCATTGCCAGTCCTGCTTCGCGTGCTTCCTTCCCGGTTCGCGTCTCGAATCCCAAGAAACGCAGCAGGTTGTGCGCCTCCAGAGCCATGATGCCAGCCACGATCATCACGATGAAGCCGACGACGTTGTAGATGACCTCCTGCAACGGAGAGGCACGTGATCATCAGGCCTTAGACAGCCGCACCAACACTGGAGGACGTCTCTGCTGCAGCCCAGTCACTTGGGAACAAGCGGACTCTTTACTTATTTAGCCATAGTTTCCAAAAATTAGGCAACGCATTTCACTGGGACCTTGCCACATTGTGGATTGTTGCTGGTTTCAGGACTTTTCTTTTTGCTGCGCTGCAAGCTGGAGAGACCCACGTTCACCCGACCGGCCTTTAGCACAGTAGCATCGATTGTCTGTAAACCACGCGCCTGTATGAGTGGGCGGGGGAGGGAAGAGATACTCTCCCGTATTCAGAATTGCGTCGAAAGGCCTTCTTTATCGAAGTGCAGGCTGTCACGATCCGAGCGTAGTGATCTGCCACGCCGGGATTGGTAGCCCAGTACATCAAATGATGGACAACGTAAAGCGAAATATCGGATCCCGAAACACCATTGACGAAACATCGTATGTCAGAAGATCGAAGAAAACAAATAATATGATGCTTACATGATGTAAGATGAAGCTGGTTTAGGTAAGTCTCGTGGAAGGAAAGATGAAATTGAATGGCCTTGCGAGGCAAATGTTATGGAACAGCGATTTAACAAAGGTGAATGGAACAACATTATACGTGGATAGACGTTGACAAGATTAAGGCAGGCACCATTTTACGGAATGAGCACCATACAAGATACAGGTCTTGGCAGCAAAAGGTGTGCGGGTCCAAAATGGATTGATCGCATGGCCGACTTGTTTTCCAAGAACCTTCGTAGTACTGCATAGCTTGAAGCCAGTGCCTGATCAGCAAACAACGGCGAGGGCATTTAACAAACGACGGGTTCCCTACCTCTCAGCAAACGAAACGAAACGAGCGCTGCGAACGTAAAAATGATGGGGAACTGAATATGCTACGAACGGGGGATCACAAGATAGTCGTCACCGTTAGGACAAGTTACAAGCTATCTTCATCCGCTCCGATCTTTTGCTTCCAGGGTGATTTGCGACATGCGGGCTGTTCTTGGATTACTTTCCAGTACCACTTTGCATCTGATTATTTTTATCCCATGCGATCATATGTGAGGGATATTTTAACGTTGATCTGTCGCTCATCATCCCTTGCAACACGATATTTATTCCTGGCAGCATATAATTTCTTTACTGTTGACAATATCCCAGATACCTATCATGATGACTATCTGGAGTTTATGTATTTTTTAAACCTGATAGTCATCATTCATTCATTCTTTGTTGCCTTCCATGGCTTTCTTATAGGCTTTTGTTAGCGACTTTTTCCATGATACTTAAGCTTTCCCAATACATCATGATGATTTGTACCGCCTTTGCATTCACCTTTGTATTCGACATCCTTTGTTTTGAATCAATCCGCTGATTCTAAAATCTGATGGCACGACCATGTCCGCGGATGAAGTAGCCTTTCCTTCAGGACTTATCCATCAGGAAAAGTATGGTGCTGGATCAAAAACTCGATGATCTCTTGGCATATTATTTCATTTTATGGCGATTTACGAGGATGCATCTTTTCCGGAAAACGTCACCCGATGACAAGACACACTATGCATTTCAAACAAAATTGGCACAGTGGGACCATGTCTTTCAAGAGCCGTTATCTCTTCATATACCAGACGTCAATCTTGTTTTGCGGGAAAAACGTAAGTTTCTACTCGCAAAATACGCTTTGAGGCAGGAGGCATGAATGACATCGTTTGAGAGAAATTCGAGTTAAGGGGATTCCATTGTGATGCGATCATGTTTTGATAGCAGATATAGAGACCAAGACCAGGTGGGGATCAAATAACAAATATGCACAGCACGCATGGTATTTTCTGTTGTGTTTAGGGTTCTTGCGTGCTTTAGATCTTGGAAAGTTATATATATATATATATATATATATATATATAATTGCCTAAACCGTGCGCACCTTGCTCATAGACACGGCGGCGCTGCGTTCCCATTGAGGGCACGTTATGCAGTGCAGTTACAGCTGCGTCTCGCTCCCCAACCATGCCGTGCATCGCCACTGACCTGGTAGGACTTCTCGATGGCGACCTCGCCGGCGATGAGGCCAATCAGCATTGGCGCCGTCACCAGGATCATGCCGCCGAAGGCGATGACGCCGACCAATCTGCGGTCGAGGGTGGTGTGGACGGTGCCTCCGAAGCCCAGGTTGTAGTGGCGAATCATACCCAGACAGGTGAGGCAGATTGCCTGGGCACAGGGGTTAGGCAGAGGTCACAACCAGCTCGGCAGCGCTCGACGATGCATTAGGGGGTGGGGGTGGGGGGGGGGGGGGGGCGGGAGGAATAGCTCGTGAGCGGTGGGACGTCGTGGTGTCGTATGCATGGGCAAAACACATGTGGCCAGTTGAAAGGTGACTTTACGGAGCAAAACCCATGCGTCAGTCCATGGCGGCTTTGATGCAGTTCTCACACGGGTATTTTTGAGACCGGGCCCCCGCATTATGCTTATGTTAACGCGCTAAATATTTAGCGTGATGCACTGGTTAGCTATGAAACACTTATATGGAAGGCTATCTGCTAAAGTTATTAACAATGCACAGAAGTATCATACAAATCTCACTCTGGTCTTCGCTTAGGTAGTCTTTTAGCCTGTCAGTAACCCAAACAATCTTCTGGAATTCGAAGACATATACAGAATGTAACAAATCAACTTACCCCAGAACCCAACGACACTGGCGCAGCTCATCGCTCAACACCACGCTGTCAGCTGCGCAAGTCCTGTTTTTTTTTGCTTTCTGTCTTCTGCCATGACGTTATAAGCTAAAACGCTGCCATAATGAAAATACGTTTGATGTCTCTTTCAATATGACATGGTTGTATTTATACGCTACAGCCCAAGACAGAGCGAAAAGTGGCAATGTATCAGTCGTGTTTTTGAAAAACTACCCTCGGCAACAGAGTCGATTGCTCGCTCTAGAGCAACAAGTTTTTTCGCAGGCATAACAATACCACGTGTGGTTTTAGGGACTTAGCTGACTGGATCTTCACCTCGAGCGACCTTTAGGTTTTCACCATTATTAGCAAATAACGGTCGATTCAGCTTTTGGTAGAACTGGCTTTAGGACTACTTTAGGTAACCAATCTTCAGCACCACTGTACAGCGTCTGGTGTGCGCGGGACTAGGTATGGTCTGTGGGATGCGCCTGTGCACTTTTTGGACACTCATAACTTTGTAAACGAGGCCGTAGCCCAGCGGCCTGTCAGCTAGCAGGTGCGAATTTGGGGTCAGGTGCAACGTGATTCGCGCTTTCTAGACGAGTAGTCCTGCTCTTTTTCAGATCCCGTCAGTTGACACCTTTCCTTGACTTTCGATCGTGACGAACAAGGACCTTTCACGCTGAATGTTTGCTGTATGCTATGTTGGCATGTCTGACAGCATGGCATCGTACCATCCAGCTCTGGCTTCGACACCGCCATGCGTGCGCTGTGCCCAGAATCGAGATGACGTTCCACGAGACACGGCGTCTCCGCAGCTTAGGAGCTGAAATACGCACGCACTTGGCCCGGCTGGTGCCCGTACAAATTTAGCGATGCGCCTCCAGTAAACATGAGACTGAACGTGTCAAACTGGTACTACATTTGTCTTGCCGTGTTCATGTTGTACTTACGTACTTGCCATGTCATACAAATATATCTGTCAAGTCATACTAATATCATAATCACAGGAGTAGTCCTGATGCACATTGGTTTAGCCAGGCTCCCAACCGCAACACCACACTCTTCCCGTGAGCTAGATGCACGCTTCTTTCCCTCACCGCTGCCCTGCGTGTGACTCACGATCTCGATCAGCTTGAGGGGGAACGCCGGCGTGAAGAGGCTGCGCAGGCCCATGGTGTGGTGCGAAGAGGGCGGACGGCCGGCGACGGACTGCGTCTAACTCGGTGCACTGCTCTGAAATGAGTAACGGCCCGGGCGCGCTCAGGTCACCCGCCTTCCTGTATGCTGCGGCGCCCCGCGGCCGTCCACGCCCAGGACAATAGGCCGGCAAGTTCCATTTTTGGTACGTGCAATCTAGATCTCGCTTTGTTTGAATATTTCTCCTGCGCAAAAGGAGGTTTGGGAACTTTTCCTGCAGGCTGATCTTGGAGGTAAGACCGCCGCGAGAGACTAGCTGCGTATCGGAATGTTAGCCAAGGGAGGGTGATAGAGAGCGAGAGAGAGGGAGAGAGTGAAAGAGAAGAAGAGAGAGAGAGAGAGAGAGAGAGGAGAGAGAGAGAGAGAGAGAGAGAGAGAGAGAGAGAGAGAGAGAGAGAGAGAGAGAGAGAGAGAGAGAGAGAGAGAGAGAGAGAGAGAGAGAGGAGAAGAGAGAGAGAGGAGAGAGGAGAGAGAGAGAGAGAAGGAGAGAGAAAAGAAGAGAGAGAGAGAAGAGAGAGATGAGAGAGGGAGAGGAGAGAGAGTAGAGAGAGAGGAGAGAGAGATGAGAGAGAGAGAAAGAGAAGGAGAGAGAGAGGAGAGGAGAGAGAGAGAGAGAGAAGAGGAGAGAGAGAGATAGAGAGAGAGACGGAGAGAAGAGAGAGAGAGAGAGAGGGAGAGAAGACGAGAGAGAAGAGAGAGAGAGAGAGGAGGAGAGAGAGAGAGAGTCGAAGAGGAGAGAGAGAGAGAGGAGAGGAGAGAAGAGATATAGAGAGAAGAGAGAGCGAGAGAGAGAGAGAGAGAGAGAGAGAGAGAAGAGAGAGAGAGAGAGAGAGAGAGAGAGAGAGAGACAGAGAGAGAGAGACAGAGACAGAGACAGAGACAGAGACAGAGACAGAGACAGAGACAGAGACAGAGACAGAGACAGAGACAGAGACAGAGACAGAGACAGAGACAGAGAAAGAGAGAACAAGACAGACGAGACGAGACAGAGACAGAGACAGAGACAGAGACAGAGACAGAGACAGAGACCGAGACAGAGACAGAGACAGAGACGAGACAGAGACAGAGACAGAGACAGAGACATAGACAGAGCAGAGACAGAGACCAGACAGAGACAGAGACGAGACAGAGACGAGACAGAGACATAGACAGGACAGAGACAGAGACAGAGACAGAGACAGAGACAGAGAGACAAGACATAGACAGAGACAGAGACGAGCAGAGACAGAGACAGAGACAGAGACAGAGACAGAGACAGAGACAGAGACAGAGACAGAGACAGAGACAGAGACAGAGACAGACAGAAAGAGAGAGAGAAAGGAAGCGAGAGGGAGAAAGAGAAATAGAAAGAATAAGAAAGAGAAAGAGAAAGGATTCCACGGCTTGCACGTGAGGGCGACCGACCTGCCACACACAGACACGGACACCGATGCGACTCACCGCACTGTGTCCTTCGTGAAATGGTGTCGTCCACGCGTAGCAGCCGCACCAATGCCACCGTGGTGGCATACCACACAGGCTCACCCCAAGGAAAAGCCGCTTGCAAACTGATGGTTTGGAGTGAAATTGAGCTGGGCAGTCCACTCTCATAGACCTCCAGCATGGGTGCATGAAGTATGCATGTGCATTGTGCGTACACATTCCAGGCAAACGATCGAATTTCGACCATACGTATAACAAGCAGAGGTATCTTCTGCGTCTGTTCTCCAAACAAATGGTGCTCATTTCAGCGATGGCGGCTTTCCTTCAGAATCAATTTTGAACTGTACGTGCCAATGTCTGCCGGCCAGCTGTGATGCTTGAAAAGCAAAGGAACACGCCTGGAGTATAACGTGCGAAGTATGCGCCCAAAAATGATATAAAATTCAGGTACACACAGGTCTAAGATAGTGCGAATAATCAGACAATCAGCCTTTGATGCCTCCGAGAAAGATCATGAAAGATCATGACGGACGATAAATCGCGCGCCACATTCGCAGTTTTAGCTCAAACCAAAGCTATCTAACGGTTCAAACATCGCAGAGTTTTCTTCAGCGGAGCTTCGGTCAAACACCAAAAATGAAAAAATGAATACATCACGTGTTCGAAGCTTGTGGCTTTAAAGCTTAGTTTTCGGGAATAACTTCACGTTTGCTCTGAAAAAATGATATAACTGTTTTGGATGGGCCCAATCACTGTAAGTACACAGCTTAATGGCATACTTCCAGAAAAGTGAACGTTATACGACGGAACTCAGGGAAAAACACAAAACACCGAAAGCCATCACCTCCACGGCCGATTTTTCCCCAGCTGATTGAATAAATGTATTCCACTGTCGCATCCAGGGACACTGGCCGCTGAGACATGTCCCCACAATTTGACGAGAAAAAAGAACCTGTGTCTTTGTTCGTTTTGGTTCATTGGCAGCATATTTTCCCACGCCCAGTTATACCTTGAAGCCGCTGCTGACTCGACCTTATCGTTACAATGCACGCGATAGCTCCACCACACGCAAGCTTGCTTATGTAGTAGGACATGTGTGCGTGTGTGTGCGTCCGATGGCACGCCCCTCCCCAGAGGTGCTCCCAACATGACGCCATCAAACGAGCGGCACCGTCGCCGGGGCCGCGTCAAAGAGCACAACCGCTCCTCGGGGAGCCGGCTGTGACCACAGCACGGCTGAGCAAACAGGGAACAGGACATCACGGCTGAGCAAACACAGAACAAAACATCACGGCTGAGCAAACACGGAACAGGACATCACGGCTGAGCAAACACGGAGCAGGACATCACGGCTGAGCAAACACGGAACAGGACATCACGGCTGCACGGCCGTCGTCACGCTTCAGCTGCACTCACGACCGCCCAGCGGCACGGCTGAAGTCGGGCGAACGTGACGGCCATGTGTATAGCTAAGGCCTGCTGCATGAGTACCTAGCGGCTGTCGCTGGCGTATGGTAGGGAGCCCACGGACACGCATCTATCAGCGAACAGATGCGAGGCTGTTACTGACACAAAGTCCTAACTTCTGGGCCAAGTTATGCTTCATTCTCAGTTCATTCGGATTTGTGATAATTGCATACGGGGTCAGGTATATTGCGTAGATATGTGCACACACATACACTTGTCAGGGTATCAGAGGAAACACGAACGGGTAAACCGGACCATGAAATAACTCGGCCGGGGAGGACAATGGAAACAGACCGAACAGAGAACCCGATCAGCCGAGACAAGCTGCACGGCAGGGCGCCGGGAGGGCGGCGGGAAAGCGAGCCGGGCACTGCCCACTGCCCGGTAACGCCGTATTGACCACTGCTCAGCAGCCTCTTCACTGCCCACTACCCCGTGGTCTATGCACACCCCGTCCACCATACAAGATAGCGAGGCAACCCACTTCGACGTCCGGAGTGGACCGGTGTCAGGTGATAACTCCGACGTCCAGAGCGGACCGGTGTGAGGTAATAACTCCGACGTCCGGAGTGGACCGGTGTCAGGTGATTCTCCGACGCCCGGCAGTTCACTTCAGTCCAGTTTACTCCCCCCCCCCCCCCCCCCCCCCCCCCCCGGTGGCAAATCAGACTCATTATTGGACTGTCGGTCGGTTATTGACTGTGAACGAATGGCGACAGCCTCCTGCACAGTGCACCCACGCTGTCTGCAGGCCCGCACCTTACACGCCCACGCTGTCTGGAGACCCCGTTGCCAACTAAGGCGGACGTGACCTCGGGGTCACAGCCGTCCTCCGCGCGCTGTCCGGGACGATCTGCCCCCGGGTTTCTCGGGGATCAGGGAGGCTGGCGGCGGATGACAGAGCACCTGGGTGACATTCGCTTGATGCGGAGCGACGCACAGTGGGCTCGGAGCGACGCGCAGTGGGCTCGAAGCGAAGCAGAGCTAACGTCGAGTGCGCAGAGTTGACGCGAAATAACACAGATCAAAGATCAAACTGATCAAAGGCCGACGGTCACATGTTCCGGCGACAAAGAGCTGACGCGGAACAGCATGCAGCCACGCACGCGTTATCTGGACTAGACCATAAGTCTTCGGCCTGTGGCTCCTGCAGAGTGATGCTCAAAGTCGTTGGGATCTGGTCGGCGTCAAGCTCCGTTTGCCATTCTGTAAATCGTGCCGCTCTTACCAGAACCGCCGTGTTCAGGCCTGACGGGTCGACAGAACGCGCGAATCGTTAGGCCCACCCTACTTATAGCCAAATGAGCGCAGTAAACAACTTAAGTTGTCCGTGATCAGGAACACAATACCATGCTTATGTCCCTAGAAGATAGATATGCTTTCAAGCAGAAGTGGAGTAAGCTTGCAGCGCCACATTATTTCGCACGCCTCGTCAGTTACGGCTGCATTACATGCCAACGAGGTGTACCAGCTAATGCAACAATCCATTGCAGCTGACATGGGATGTAGCTTCGCGTGGCAGTACGGCGCGCGACATGCCAAGACACAGACTCCATTCTCAGACCGGCGAAGACAAAGGACGCGGCATGCCAAGACACAGACTCCATTCTCAGACCGGCGAAGCCAAAGGACGCGGCATGCAAAGACACATTCTCCATTCTCAGACCGGCGAAGCCAAAGGACGCGACATGCCAAGACACAGACTCCATTATCAGACCACCGAAGTCAAAGGCGGACCACTGGATTTCATCAGTTGGGATCTTTCGACTTTCATTATTTTAGGCACATTGCTCTTGATGTTGCCGAAAGACATGTAACATGTATCAAACAATGCCAATGACTTTTACAATTGCTAGGGGTATTGCTCACCGAGTAGCGTATTTACCATTTATAACGCTCTGATGGTCTTCCTTCATCGGTGAGATTGGCGGTCTGCGACGGAAGCTCCCGTCTGGCTCCTTCCGCCGCTCCCCCGCCCGGAAGGCACGGTCACCTATCACCGGTCGCGGACGACAGTGACGTCACCCTTCCCGGTATGATCTCACCGGGTGAGGTCACCTCACGAGACTGGGCCCCGCGCGGTATCCTCCGCCCACGAGCCGCGGTGAGTGACGTCATCGGACGCCGTGGCTATGGGGACGGCACGGAGGCGGAGGCGGAGAGGGGGAGGGGGGGGGGGGGAGGGAGCACTATCGTCCGGGCCAGGTGACTCGTCCTTCGGCCAGCTGATGACCACAACCCGTCACGCCAGACAAACAACCCGACGGCAGCGACGCGCTGGCGTGCGGGCACATCCACATACACGCAACCTATGCCCTCACGTCCCGACGATAGTCTCTCCTCCACCTCTGGCCGCTGTTGAAGTCTGCCGCTCCTCCACCTCTGGCCGCTGTTGAAGTCTGCCGCTCCTCCACCTCTGGCCGCTGTTGAAGTCTGCCGCTCCTCCACCTCCGGCCGCTGTTGAAGTCTGGCCGGCTGCCTGCCATCCACCTCCTGGGCCGCTGTTGAAGTCTGCCGCTCCTCCACCTCCGGCCGCTGTTGAAGTCTGCCGCTCCTCCACCCCCGGCCGCTGTTGAAGTCTGCCGCTCCTCCACCTCCGACCGCTGTTGAAGTCTGCCGCTCCTCTACCTCTGGCCGCTGTTGAAGTCTGCCGCTCCTCCACCCCCGGCCGCTGTTGAAGTCTGCCGCTCCTCCAACCTCCGACCGCTGTTGAAGTCTGCCGCTCCTCCACCTCTGGCCGCTGTTGAAGTCTGCCGCTCCTCCACCTCCGGCCGCTGTTGAAGTCTGCCGCTCCTCCACCCCCCGGCCGCTGTTGAAGTCTGCCGCTCCTCCACCTCCGACCGCTGTTGAAGTCTGCCGCTCCTCTACCTCTGGCCGCTGTTGAGGTCTGCCGCTCCTCCACCTCTGGCCGCTGTTGAAGTCTGCCGCTCCTCCACCTCCGGCCGCTGTTGAAGTCTGCCGCTCCTCCACCTCTGGCCGCTGTTGAAGTCTGCCGCTCCTCCACCTCCGGCCGCTGTTGAAGTCTGCCGCTCCTCCACCTCCGGCCGCTGTTGAAGTCTGCCGCGAAAGCAAACTTCCTGGGTGCACCCTTGATGGCGCAGTGGTCTAATCTGTTAGTCCCATGTCAGCTCAGCTGGCCAGAACTATTTAGCGGCCGTCTCAATGGCGCAGATTCGGCCCAAATGCGGACGATGGCGGCGATGCCAGCCGCTGGCTGTTGCTTCTGCTCGACACGCAAACGTTACGCCGCGTGCTGACAGCGGCAGCGGCAGCGACAGCGACAGCTCCGGAATCCGTCGGCGACGTCATGAACCCAAATCGGCCTCGGTCATGTTGCGATGGTGATGATTCCGCGCCCAGTACCCATTACACTGGCGTAGTATGTGTGCCATGTTCTACACGGTGCTACTCAAAAGTCATCCTTTGGCCATCAGGCACGGTGTACTTCATGAGCAAAAATGACATCGGGTCAGCTTTTCGCTTTTCCTTGTTTGCATGCATGTGTGTATGTATGTGCATATTACTTCCACGGGCCCATTCACAATGGAGCGTGGCTATTGCAGACCCGTGTCAAAAGTGCAGGAGATAAGAACATGCAGGTAAAAAAAATCACACAGACACCCAGCCACCCGGCTACCAATA